TTAAGCATCCAACTCTCTGCTCTAGTTTGCTGAGAACTATGACTATGTGAAAAGTTCCAATTCCTTCATTTGTTTCTTAATTTCTCCATATGAAAACTAGCTACTGATCTCCCATTATTCTTGGTGAGAACAGTTGTGGTGGTGGGGGAAGGTTGTTAAAGTTCTGGGATTTTTTTTAAGTTTATATATTAATTTTGAGAGAGAGTAGGTGAGCAGGGAGGGGCAGAGAGAGAGGGACATAGAGAATCCGAAGTAGGCTCTGCACCATCAGCACGGAGCCCAATATGGGGCTCAGTCTCACAAACCAAGATCATAACCTTAACCAAAACACACACACACACACACACACACACACACACACACACACACACACAATTATTCTTTTAAGACAGGTTTTGAGAAAAACACATATTCCCATTTCTTTCCCAGGCAATAAGATGTAACCTCTATTTTCACAGAATTGGGAAATAATACTCTTTGCTTTATTACTCTTCAACCCTGTCATCTTGCCTCCTTTTCCATTTAAGATCCTTCTACCTCAAGGTTTCTTTCCTAGTATTTAATATCTAACATTACTTCAAAAAAAAGAATTTAAAGCTATTTATAGAGATACACACATAAAAGAAAATTAAAGAGGTGAATGATAATCAATAGCTTTCCTATATACCAGCGAATATCATGGAAACTGGCATTATCACACCAAGAGCAAATATGGAAATGTTAGGCATAAACTTACTGAGAATAATTCAGGAACCATATGAAGAACATTAAAAAAACTTTATTAGGGAACAGAAATGATGTGAATGAGTGCAGAGAATGACCGTGGCAGGTAATGTTGGCTGCCTACTCAAAATCTACTCTCTTCTTCCTTGATGGCTGAGCTTCAGTTTGGTTCAGATGGTGACCAGCTGACATTACTGCAAAGATGGTGACCTTCTCCCATGCCAGGGATATATTCTCACTTGTCAGCAGTTAGTTTGAGTACTGGAAGTTCTGGTCATCAGAGGACCTGTGCTTAGCTGCTTCTGGGAGAGGTTCCCTCACTCCTAAGGGCCTCCTAAGTTTCCTTTTCACCTCAGCACATAGCCATCTTTAGATGTGATGGTGGGAAATGTAGCAGTCATTTTGCAACCAGGAGAAGGACAGCCTGAAGATGAAACTGACACCATGGAGGCATCTGGGTGGCTGTCAGTTGAGCGTCCAACTCTCAATTTTGGCTCAGATCATGATCCCAGGGTAATGGGATTGAGTCCCGTGCCAGGCTCTGTGCTGAGAGTAGAGCCTGCTTGGGTTTCTCTCTCTCCCTCTGCTCCCCTTCTCTCTCTCCCTCCCTCCCTCTCTCTCTCAAAAAACAAAACAAAACAAAAAAACAAAACAAAAACCCTGACATTCTGAGGATGGCAGCGAGGACCTAGATGGGAAAGATTCTGGACCCTTGATGACATCGCAGAGTTGCTAAGTCAGACAACCCTGAAATCTACTTTATATCTGGACTTCCTGATATGAGAATGTGGCTCCCTGTTCACTACAGCCTGTCCTCTTCCTAGGCTCACTGGAAGAATCCATGTCTCAGTATTCCTTACAGTTAGGATGGAGTCATATGGCAGATTTTGGACTGTGGAACATACACAGAATTCATGTAAGTCAGATCCAAGTCTGGTCCTTAGAAACAACCTGTGTGGATGAATTCTACCAGACATTTAAAGAAGAGTTAATACCTGTTCTCCTCAAACTATTCCAAAAAAATAGAGGAAGGAAGAAAGATATGAGGCCAGCATTACCATGATATCAAAATTGGACAAGTCAATTAAAAAAAAAATAAAGAAAACTACAAACATTCCTGATGAACATAGATGCAAAATCCACCAAAAAATATTGGCAAATGTCATTCAACAATACATAATTCACCACAATCCAGTGAGATTTATGCTAAGGATGGAAGGATTATTCAATACTCACAAAATCAACATATTCACCACATTAACACAATGAAAGATAAAATTTATATGATCATCTCAATAGAAGTAGAAACACTATTTGACAAAATTCAGCATCTGTTCATGATAAAAACTCTCAACAAAGTGGGTTTAGAGGGAACATGTGTTCAACATACTAAAGGCCATACATGAAAAACCCAATACTAACATCATACTCAATGGTGAAAACTAAAAGGTTTTCCTCTAAGATTAGGAACAAGACAAAGATGTTCATTCTTACCACTGTTATTCAACATAGAACTGGAAGCTGTAACTACGGCAATCAGGAAAAAATGCATTGAAAATAGTAAAGAAGGCACTGAAAATTAAAAAAAAAAAAGGCACCTGGGTGGCTCAGTCCGTTAAGTATCCAGACTCTTTGTTTTGGCTCAGGTCATGATCTCATAGTTTGTGAGTTCAAGCCCTGCATTGGGCTCCACACTGACAGTGCAGAGCCTGCTTGGAATTCTCTCTCTTCCTCTCTCTCTATGCCTCCCCTGCTCATGCTCAAGAAAGAAAAAGAGGGAAAGAGAGAGAGAGAGAGAAAGAGTGTTTGCAGACGACATGATAGTATGTATAAACAACTCTAAAGACTCTACCAAAAAACCATCAGAATAAATAAATTCAGTAAAGTTACAGGATATAAAATTAATACACAGAAATCTGTTGTGCTTCTATATATTAATAATGAAGAAGCAGAAAGAGAAATTAAAAAAACACTTCCACTTAAAATTGCACCAAAAATAGTAAAATAACTAGAAATAAATGTAACCAAGGAGATAAAAGACCTATACTATGAAAACTATAAAACGTCAATGAAAGATATTGAAAAGGACACAAAGAGAAAGATATTCCATGCTTATGGACTGGAAGAATATTGTTGAAATATTTGTACTAACCATAGTAACCTGCAGATTCAATGCAATCCCTATCAAGATTACCAATAGTATTTTTCACAGAACTAGAACAAACAGCACTAAAATTTGTATGGGACCACAGAAAACCGTGAATAGCCAAAATAATCTTAGAAAGACCAAAGTTGTTGCTATCACAATCCCATATTTCAAACTATACTACAAAGCTTTAGTATTCAAAACAGTGTGGTAATGGCACAAAAACACACACATAAATCAATGGAACAGAGTGCACACCCTAGAAACAAACCTATACGTATCTATGTGGTCAATTAATCTATGACAAAGGAGGCAAGAATATACAATGTGGAAAAGACAGTCTCTGCAACAAATGATGTTGGGAAAACTGGACAGCTACATGCAAAATAATGAAACTAAACCACTTTCTTAACACTGTATGCAAAAACAAATTCAAAATGGATTACAGATTTAAATGTGAAACTTGAAACCATAAAACTGCTAAAAGAAAACATAAGCAGTAATCTCTTTGACATCATCCTTAGCAACATTTGTCTAAAGAGGCCTTTTTAGGCAAGGGAAACAAAAGCAAAAATAAACTATTGGGACTACACCAAAATAAAAAGCTTCTGATCAGCAAGGAAACCATCAACAAAACAAAAAGGCAACCTAGCGAATGGGAGAAGATATTTGCAAATGATATATCCAGTAAGGGGATGATCCAAAGTATATAAAGAACTCATACAATTCAACACCAAAAAAAACCAAACAATCCAAATAAAAAATGGTCAAAGGACCTGAATATTTTTCCAAAGAAGACATACAGATGGGAAATAGACACATGAAAAAATGCTCAATATCACTAATCACTGGGGAGATGCAAATCAAAATCACAATGAGATACCACTTCATATTTGTCAGAATGGCTAGTATCAAAAAGACAAAAATAACAAATGTTGGTGAGGATATGGAGAAAAGGGAGCCCTTATGCAGTGTTGGTAGGAATGTAAATTAGTACAGCCACGTGGAAAACAGTATGAAGGTTACTCAAAAACTTAAAAATAGAGATACCATATATAATCCAGTAATTCCATTATTGGGTATTCCAAAGAAAATGAAAAGACTAATTTGAAAAGATAATATGCAGCCTTATGTGTACTGCAGTTTGATTTCCAAAAGCCAAGATGCGGAAGCAATCCAAGTATCCATCAATAGATGAGTGGATAAAAATGTGGTATATACATACAATGGATTATTATTCAGTAAGATTTCATTCTTTCTTATGGCCATTTGTGGCAACATGGATGGACCTAGAAGGTACAGCGTTATGTGAAATAAGTCAGACTGGGAAAGACAAATGTCATATGATTTCACTTATATGTGAAATCTAGAAAATAAAAAGCAGAACAGATCCATAAATACAGAAAAGTAATGGTTTCAATAGAGGAATGGTGTGGGGAGATGGGCAAGATTCATGAAGGGGAGTGGGAGATACAGGCTTCCAATTATGGAATGAATAGACCATGGGGATAGAAGAACAGCATAGGGAATACAGTCAATGGTATTGTAACAGCATTGTATGGTGACAGATGGTAAACACATTTGTGATGAGCATAGAAAAATGTGCAGACTTATCAACCACTATGTTGTACACCTGAAACTAAAGTAACATTGTGTGTCTACCATATTTCAGTAAAAATACAAATTAAAAAAAAAAGGAGCTGGAAACTGTATTGCCTTAGTATGCAACAACTCTTAAGAACAGGCAATCGACCAGCCCTTTTCCCTTACTAAAGTGACTTAAAAGAAGCCATGTGTTCTTTCCCAAATGTACAAGACTGATCTAAGTCGCAGGAAACCAACCAATTTCTAAGGAGAAAACCACAGAAAAGGTTTTCTGTGTTTATTTCATTTCATGATAACATCTTATATTTAGAACATGTTCTGAAGAGCAGGGGACTTTTGCCTTTTAAATATATTTTAACATTTTTTTCTTAAAAAAAAAAAAAAAAGAAGCCATGTGTTACAGTTAGTGTAATGACAAGATGAAAGAACTGGGATGTCAAAATCACCAACTCTGTCCAGAAGAGTCACCAACCCCTAGCAAACTTTGTAGGGCCAATCAACAAGCTTCTACTCTATTATGCTTAACAGATGTTGGGCTCTGCCTGCTGCAGCAGCCAGTATTATTCTGCTAGTAAAGTGAGATTATATGCTTATTGCTTAAGCCAATTTTTTACTGTTTAGGTTGGGGTTTTGTAACTTGTACCTGAAAGCTTCCTGTTTGTTACATATGCCATGTTCTTGGACCAGACGTCTCAAAAGTATGTAGGAATCTTCACATTTATGCCTAAAGTAAAGATCCCTGACAATAGCTTTCTTAGCCATAACTATTATAGGCTGTCAGTTTGGTTCAGTGCTATAAAATCTTTAACTGCAGAATCAGGGAGAAGTATGGTATGGATTTAAGAAGATAAATCTAAGGCATCTAACGAACGCATGTGCCTGAATGAAGGAGGGTCAGGAGCATCAGGGACATATTCCCCAGGGAGTAAGTCCTAGGAGCTGGATACTGGTCATATATGTGCAAGATTCACATTTACAGGGACCTAATTCACAAGAAAGTGGGAACTTTCCATTTTGGCAGTCTTTGACTCAATAGTCCCTTTGAGCAGCAGAACTGGACTTTTAATTTTTTCATCAGTTGATAATGCATTAGAGTGCTATGGTGACTGAAGTAACCTCATGGCAAATTCTATGAGCATTTATGAGAGTTCCAATTTGAAAAAATAAAGTTTCATAGTAAGAAGTAATAGATAAGAAATGTACACAACAATAAACATAGATCTTTAAATCATGGTACAACATGGAGAAATACAAAAACATATACTTCACAATGTCATTTATATACACTAAAGTACTGCACACAAAACGCTCCACATTTCACATGGATACACACAAATGAAACAACCCACAGCATACGTGTTAGAATAGATGCCTGATTATAAGAGTAAAAGAAATAAACAGAACAAGGAAGAAAACTTGCAATGATGGCAACAGCAGGTTAGGACTGGTAAGTATGATTAACTCTATCTCTGTACCTGAAATCTAAGAGAAAGAAAAATACATTTTCAGGATTTCCTGGTAGAAAATATACTCAGAAAGTGACAAATGAATAAAAGACGAACAGGGAGAGAAATGTCTAAAATTACAGAAAGAATTAAACACTCCCATGAAATAATAAAAGAAAATTTGATAGAGCTTTTCCTAAGAGTAGTAAGTAGACTCTGTAGCCTCGGTAAAAGGTTTACAAAGTTATCATGACTAAACTTTAATCAAAAATAAAGATTTAGGTGCCTCACTGGCTTGGTAGAGCATGCGACTCTTTATCTCAGGGTCATGAGTTCCAGCCCCATGATGGGTATATGGATTACTTAAAAATAAAATTCACCTCCCCCAAAATAAACATATAAGTGAACCTTGAAAAAAAACCTTACTAAGAAAGCCCAATTCTTTCTCTCTTTCTCATACCCACACGCAAGCACATGGATGCACACGTGTGCGCATGTGCGCACGCGCACACACACACACACACACAATGTGGAGGCTGTTTACTCAGTACAAGACATAGCATGGTTTATTTAAATAAAGTTTGTTTACACATTAAGCTCTTAACTTGGGAGAACGGTATCAAAGGCAAAATGGACAAAGAAACAAGAACCAACTATACAGTACTTACAACAAAGTTTAAATATGAGAACAGAGATAGGATAAAAGTAGAAGAATACAAAAAGGTATATCCTGCAACCAGTAAGCATGTGAAAGTTACTGTAGGTATATTAATAACAAAGTAGTTTTCAAGATAAACAGATTATCAGAGATAATGAGGAACATTTCAAAATGATAAAAGGGTCTATTCATCAAATACAAAAATCTAAAGGTGTATGCACCAAATAACCTAGCTTCAAAATACATGAAGCCAAAAATAGGTAAATCTAAAAGGAGAAAGGAAATTTGGGGACAATGGCCAAGTAGGAGGATCCTGAGCTCACCTCTTCCCACCAACACAAGATAACAGTTATAATTATGCAACTTACCCAACTCAAAGACTGGCAGAATGGACCTTCCACAATCAACGAGAGAGGAGGCCACAGGGGAAAGGGTAGGAGGAGTGAAAACACAGTTTGGAATTAAATCTCTGGCAGGACTAACCACAAATGAGAGGGATGTCATAAGCACGGAGAAGCAAAAGGAACAGACTCTACACCAGGAATCCTTGGCACTAGGGAACTGCACTGGGAAGATGAATCCCCATAACATCTGGCTCTGAAAACCAGTGGGGCTTAACTTCAGGAGCTAGAAAAATCAGCAGGCTTAACTCTAGGAAAGCCAGAGGGTAACATGAAACTGAGTTCCTGCCTCTAAAGAGCCAACAAAATATAAAACTTGGCCCAAGACATAACACAGAAACTGCAGTTTGAAATGTACCTGGGGTATATGTGAAGGAGATTTATTGACTCATCTTAGAACATGTACTAGAGAAGCAGGGATCTTTAAAAGATTTCTTTGCAGGGGCGGGGGGTGGGGTGGGGGAGTGATGGCAGGGGCCATTTCTCTTCCCCTTCCTCCAGCCTAGATAGCCTGACACTTGCAAGAGGCAGGACTGACTCCATCTATCTTGCTACCTCCTCATGCCCCATCTATGTTCCCTACAGACTGCCCCATCCAACCTACCTTCCTGAGCAGGCACCTCTTCAAAGCTGATCCTACCTACCATACCCAGCAAGGACCAGTATCACTCTGAAGTCATTCCTGCCTTGAGGAGTGGAAGAGATAACCCCACACAGTAGCATGCCCACAGCTCCAGTAGCCCAGCCTCTCAGCTGATAGCACGGGGAGCAAACCATGCCCTTCAGTGCATCTACACCTGTGGCAGAGAAGCTAACTGCAAACAGCTAGGCTGATAGCCACCCCCACCCACAAATGAGAACCTCTCAGTTGACCAAGCAGGGAACAGGCTCTGCCCTTTGGTGTACCCACAACTACACTGGAGAGGCTGACTGCAGACAGCTAGGCTGACTATTGGCCCCATTTACCAACAAGCCTATGGTGGCCTCAGTCCTCATGACAGCTTGGGGAACAAACCATGACCAATGTGCCCACAGCAGGCAAAGCAGGTCACTGAAGCCTGCTGGGCTAAAGGCAATGGCAGCTCATCCACAACAGAAGGGAGCACACAGCCCACACAAGGATCATCAACAGAGTTCCTATTTCTGGTAACCAGGGGCAATTGAGCTACAGGTACCACAAGACCTCTCCTACTCAAGACCACTCCTCTAAAGACTAGGGAATCTAACTAACCTACATGATACATAGAAACAAACACAGAGAATTAGACAAAATGAGCAGACAGAAAAATATGTCCCAAATGGAAAAAAATAAAAATAAAAAAACAAGACAAAAATCAAAGTAAAAGAGGTAAACTAAACTAAGATAAGCAAAGTACCTGGTAAAGAATTGAAACCAATGGTCATTAAGATACTCGCTGAATTTGAGAAAAGTGGATGAGCTCAGTAAGAATGTCAACAAAGAAAATATTTAAAAAAAAAAATGAACCGTCAGAAGAACTGAAAAATTCATTAATGAAATGAAAAGGAATCATTTAGATGCCTTAGATTTAGGGGATGCAAAATGGATCAGCATTCTGAAAGTCAGGATAATGGAAATCAACCAAACAGCAAAAAGAGTAACAAAAATGAGACAATGTTAAAGGAACTCAGCAATATCATCAAATGTAATAAAATCTGCATCATAGGGATCCCAGAAAGAGGAGAGAGAGAGAAGGGGGCAGAAAACTAATCTGAAGAAATAATAGTCAGAAATTTCCCTAACCTGGGTAAAGAGTCCCTAACAAGATAAATCCCCAAAGGCCCACATTAAGATGAATCATTGAAATGATAAAAAGTAATGATGGAAAATTATAAAAACAGCAAGAGAAAACTGTTATATACAAGGGAAGCCACATAAGACTATTGCTGATTTTTCTGTAGAAACTTTGCAGGCCAGAAAGAAGTGACTAGATATATTCAAAGTGCTGAAGGAAAAAACTTACACCAAGAATAAGATACCCAGCAAGGCTTTTATTCAGAATAGGAGAGATAAAGACAAACCAAAGTTAAGGGAGTTCATTACTGCTAACTAGCCTTACGAGAAATGTTAAAGGGAACTCTACGAGAGGAAATAAAGACCATAACTTGAAGAAAATTATGAAAGGGAAAAATTTACAGGTAAAAGCAAACAAATAGTAAAAGTAGTAAATTAATCACTCATGAAAACAGTAGAGATTAAAACACAAAAGGAGTAAAATCAATTATATCTACAAAAATTAGTCAAGGGATACACAAAATTGAAAATGTAAAATATGACATTATATACATAAAATGTGGGGGGGGTTAAAAATTTAGTACTTTTGGAATGTGTTCAAACTTAAATGACCATCAATGTAATACACACTGCTATACAATAAGATGTCATATAAGAACCCAACGGTAACCACAAAATCAAAAACCTATAATAGATACACAAAAAAATAAAGAGAAGAAGAATCCAAGCATAACACTAAAAAAACAGTCATCAAATGATATGGAAATAGAGCAGGAGAAGAAAGGATCAGACAAGAATTACAGAAATATCCAAACAATAGTTAACAAAATGGCAATAAATACATACCTATCAATAATTAGTTTAAATATAAATGAACTAAATGCTCCAAAGAACAAAGGGGGACTAAAAAAATTTTTTTAAAAACCAAAACCAAAAAAATTCATTTATATGCTGCCTAGAAGAAACTCATTTCAGACCTACAGACACATACAAACTGAAAGTGAAGGGACAGAAAAACATATACCATGCAAATAGAAATGAATAAAAAGCCAATACGTATATTGGACAAAATAGCCTTTAAAACAAAGACTATATATATAGCAAGAGAAAAAAGAAAGGCACTACATAATGATAAAGGTATCAGTCCAATAGGAAGATATAACAATCATAACTTTCCATGCACCCAATTTAAGAGCACCTAAACATATAAAGCAAATATAAACAAACATAAAGAAAGAAACTGACAGTAATACAATAATAGTAAGTGGCCTGAACACCCTACTTACATTAACGGATAGATCACCCAGCCAGAAAAATAGGGAAATGAGTTTGAGTAACACACCAGACCTGATGGACTTACCAGATACATACAGAACATTCTACCCCCCAAAAAGCAGAATACGCATTCTTTTCAAGTGTACATGTAACATTCTCTAGGATAGATCACGTTAGGCCACAAAAAATGTCTAAATAATTTAAAAAGACTTAAATCACATCGTGCATTGCTCCAATTCCAACAGTATGAAACCAGAAATGGATTTTAAGAAAAAATACTTGGAAAAAGCACAAACACATGGAGGCTAAACAGCATGCTACTAAACAATGACTAAGTCAACCACAAAATCAAAGAGGAGATCAAAAGACACACAGAGACAAATGAAAACACAATGGTATAGGGGGACCTGGTGCCTCAGTAACGTAAGCACCCAACTCTTAATTTCGGATCAGGTCATGATCTCATGGTTTGTGAGTTCAACCCCCATGTTAGGCTCTGTGCTGACAGTGTAGAGCCCACTTGGGATTCTCTCTCTTCCTCTCTCTTTGCCCCTCCCCTGCTCTCACACACTTGCACTGTCTCTCCCACTCTCAAAAACAAACAAACAAACTCATGCACACAATGGTCCAAAATCTTGTAGACATAACAAGGCAGTTCTAACAGGGAAATTTATAGTAATACAGTCCTACCTCAAGAAACAAAATCTCAAACAACCTAACCTTACATCTAAAAAACATAGACAAAAAAATACTAAAAGCCCAAAGTCAGTAGAAGGAAGGAAATAATAAAAATTAGAGCGGGGAAAAAATGAGATAGAAAAAAATCAGTGAAGCCAAAAGCTGGTTATTTGAAAAGATAAAATTGATAAAACTGTAGCTAGATATCACTAAAAAAGAGAGATAACTCATATAAAAACAAAATAAGATATACCAACACCACAGAAACATAAAGGATAAGAGGTTATGAAAAGTTATATGCCAACAAATTGGACAACCTAGAAGAAATGGATAAATTTCTTAAAACACACAATCTCTGAAAACTGAATCAGGAAGAAACAGACTGACTACTAGTAATGAAATTGAACTGGTACTCAAAAACTTCCAACAAACAAAAGCTGAGGACTAGATAGATTCACAGGTGAATTCTATCAAACATTTAAAGAAAAATTAATATCAGGATGCCTGGGTGGCTAAGTCGGTTGAGTGTCTACCTTTAGCTCAGGTCATGATCTCACGGTTCATGGGTTCAAGCCCCACAGTAGGCTCGCTGCTGTAAGTGCAGAACCCACTTAGAATCTTCTGTCCCCTTCTCTCTTTGCCCCTCCCCAGCTTGTGCTCTCTCAAATATAAATATTTAAAAAATTAAAGGAAGAAAAATTAATACCTATTCTTCTCAAACTATTCCAAAAAGAAACAGGAAGGAAAACCCAAATTCATTCTATAAGACCAACAATACCCTGGTAACAAAACCAGACAAAGACACTACACAAAAAAGAAAACTACAGACCAATATCCCTAATAAACATAGACGCAAAAATCCTCAACAACATTATTAGCAATCCAAATTCAACAATGTCATTTTTTAGAGAGACACAATGCACATGCATGAGGGAGGGACAGAGTGAGAGGCAGAGAGAATATTCCAGGCAGGCTCTGAGCCATCAGCACGGAACCCAATGTGGGGCCTTGATCCCACAAACCATGAGATCCTGACCTAAGCCAAAACCAAGAGTCAGATGCTCAACCTACTGAGTCACCCAGGTGTCCCCAAATTCAACAATATGTTAAAAACAATCATTCACCACAATCAAGTGGAATTTACTCCAGGAACCCAAGGGTGGTTCACTATTCACAAATCAATCACTGTTATATATCGCATTAACAAGAGTAAGGATAAAAACCATATGATCTTATCAATAGATGCAGAAAACACATTTGACAAAATTCAACATCCCCTCATGATCAACACTCTCAACAAAATGGGTATAAAGGGAATATACCTCAACAAAATAAAGGCCATATATAACAAATTCACAGGAAACATCATACTCCATGAGGAAAAACAAAGTTTTTTCTCTAGGGACAGGAATAAGACAAGGATATCCACTTTTATTCAACATAGTACTGAAAATCCTAGCTGCAGCATTTAAACCAGAAAAAGAAATAAAAGGCATCTAAATTGATAAGGAAGAAATAAAACTGTCACTATTTGCATATGACATGATACCATCTAGAGAAACATCCTAAAGATGCCACCAAAAAATCTGTTAGAACTGGGGCACGTGGGTGGCTCAGTTGGTTAAGTGTCTGCCTCTTGATTTCAGCTCAGGTCATGATCTCACAGCTTCATGGGTTTGTGCCCCATATTGGGCTCAGCACACTGACCACATGGAGCCTGCTTGGGATTCTCCCTCTCCGCTCTGCCCCTTCCCTGCTCATGCTCTCTCTCTCAAAATAAATAAGTAAACTTAAAAAAAAAAACTATTAGAACTAGTAAATGATTCAGTAAAGTTGCAGGATAGAAGCTTCAGGATACAAAATTAAGACAGAAATCTACTGCATTTTTATACATTTATAATGAAAAAGAAAGAAGAAATGGTCCTATCAAAAATAATAAAATACTAGGAATATATTAAATCATGAGGTGAAAAACTTATGCCCTGAAAACTGTAAGACATACAAAAAAATTAGTATCATTAAAAAATTAGTATCATTTAAATGTTCATACTACCCAAAACAATGTACACATTTAAAGCAATCCCTATCAAAATACCCAACAGCATTTTTCACAGAACTACAATAAACCTAAAATTTGTATGGAACTACAAAAGACCCCCAAACAGCCAAAGCAATCTCAACAAAAGAGAACAAAATTGGAGGTATCACAATGCCAAATTCAAACTATACTACAAAGAAATAAACAAAACAATATGGCACTGACACAAAAACAGATACAAATATCAATGGAACTTAATAGAGCCCCCATTAATCTACAACAAAGGAGGCAAGAATATACAGTGTTAGAAAAAAAAGTCTCTTCAATAAACAGTGCTGGGGAAAACTGGACAGCAACATACAAAAGAATGAAACTAGACCTCTTTCTTACACCATACACAGAAATAAACCCAAAATGGATTAAATACCTAAAAACAAGTCCTGAAACCATAAAACATCTAGAAGAAAACATAGGCAGAATCTCTTAGGCATCACCCTTAGCAACATTTGTTTAGACAGACCTCATTAGGCAAAGGAACCAGAAGCAAAAATAAACTATTGGGACTACTCCAAAATATAATGCTTTTGCAAAGTAAAGGAAACCATCAACAAAACAAAAAGGCAACCTAGTGGATGGGAGAAAATATTTGCAAATGATATATCTAATAAGTGGTTAATATCCAAAATATATATATATATATAAAAAGTCAAACAAACAACACAACACTAAAAATAAACCAAACAGTCCAATTAAAATATGGGCAGAGGACCTGAAGAGATATTTTTCCAAAGAAGACCCATAGATGGCAATCAGACACATGAAATGATGTTCAATCATCAGCTAATCATCAGGGAAATGCAAATCAAAACCACAATGAGATATTACCTTACACTATTCAGAATGGTTAATATTAAGGGTTGGCAAGGATGTGGAGAAAAAAGAACCCATGTGCACTTTGGTGGGAATGTAAGTTGGTGCAGCCACTGTGGAAAACAGAATGGAGACTCCTCAAAAAATGAAAAATAGAAATACCATATGATCCAGTAATCCCACTACTAGGTATTTACCCAAAGAAAGCAGGTATATATTTGAAAGGATATAGGCACCCCTATATTTATTGCAACATTATTTATAACAGTGAAGGTATGGAAGCAATCCAAGTGTCCATTGATAGATAAATGGCTAAAGAAGAGGTGACAGGTATATGTATCCAATGGAGTACTGGTCACAAAAACGAATGAGATCTTGCTATTTTTGACAACATGGATGGACCTAGAGGATAACGGGCTAAATGAGATAAGACAAAGACCAATACCATATGATTTCACATATACGTGGAATCTAAAAAACAAAATGATCAAAGAAAGCAGACTATTAAATACAGAGAATGAACTAGTGGTTGCCAGAGTGGGGGTGGTGAAAAGATGGGTGAAAATAGATAAAGAGGATTAAGAGGTATGAACTCTCAGTTATAAAATAAATAAGTCACAAAGATGAAAATTACAACATAATATAGTTAATAACATTTTAATAATGTTTGGAAACAGAGGAGGTCTACACTTAAACACTGGTGAGCACTGAGTAATGTACAGAATTATTAATCGCCATCTTGTACACCTGAAACTAATGTAACAGTGTGTCAACTATACTCAAATTTTTAAAAGGAGTTTTATACCTGACACTGATATAATACTGTATGTTAATTGTACTTTGATTAAAGAAAGAAATAATTCAAAGTCATAATCAGGAATTTTAACATAGCACTCTTTGTATTGATAGAGCACACTAAATATCATAAGAGATCGAAAGAACTTCAGCAACACTCAGGTGACATATAGAGAACTCTATACCCAACAACTTTAGAATAAACATCCTTTTTAGGTACACATGGAACAAGCCCCCAAACGACAGAATGCTAGAATATAAAACAAATCCCAATAACTCTCAACTGGGTAAAACTACATTGTGTTTTCAAGCCACTAAAAATTAATCTAGATATCAGAACCAAAGATTTAAAAAAAACTCTAAGAACTTAGAAACTAAACAATTGGTAATATTATAGAAAAATATGAAAAAATAAATCAATAGAAGTTTGAAATTATTTTGAAGGGAACAATATGAAAATACAACATCAAATCTGTGAGATGCAATTCAGAGATTTCTCAGATTGAATTATATAGCTTCAAGCATATTTTAGAAAGATAAAAAATTAAAAATCTAAGTTTTTCTCTCAATGAACTAAAAAAAAGAGAAAATGAAATACAAAATAAAATAAAAGAGCCAAACAAAACAATAGATTAGAAACTGACAATACAGAAAAAAACAAGTGAAAAGTTAGATCTATGAACCCAACTCTCAGCATTCAAAACTCAATTCTACCAGTAACTAGTTCTGTGGTCTCAGGAAAGTTTGTAAGGTTCTGTAAACCTGTTTCTGCACACATAAATGTGCACAACAACATAGTAGCATCTCAGAGGGTGTTCTGAAGATTAAAGGAGTTAAAACATTTAAAGCACTTATGATTCTGGTATATTACTAAGTGCTATATTAGAGTCCACTGTCAATGATATCACTTGTTGTTCAGGGGCAAAGATGTTCCAACCTTGGCATAGATTGGGACCTGTCAGTAGGAAAACTCTTCTTTGATGTTTAAGAAGACATCTATTTTTCCAAGAAAAACTGTACTAGGTAAATTCTACAAACCCAGGCCTGGAATAAGGGGAGCCCTTCCTTTTGTGTTTCAGACATTAGAAGTTTAACCTCTGATGCATGTTTGAGGTCAGCCTGGATATAAATGTGAATAAGAAACAAGTCATTTAAAATCATGCCTAGAAATGTCGCACCAGATTGTTCTATGGAACACAGCTCAGAAAACCCTGAATTATTTCATTTGTGTGTGTCCTTGTGAAACGCATAACATTCTGTGAATGGTATTTTTTAAATTTTTTTTTTTCCAACGTTTATTTATTTTTGGGACAGAGAGAGACAGAGCATGAACGGGGGAGGGGCAGAGAGAGAGGGAGACACAGAATCGGAAACAGGCTCCAGGCTCTGAGCCTGAATCAGCCCAGAGCCTGACGCGGGGCTCGAACTCACTGACTGTGAGATCGTGACCTGGCTGAAGTCGGACGCTTAACCGACTGCGCCACCCAGGCGCCCCAGTGTGAATGGTATTTTAAGTATACATAAATGGTATTGCAGAACAGATTTTTCCCCATTTTTCTATGACCGATCATATTTTTAAGA